CATCCCCCCGGCTCAGATCCACTGCGCAGGCACGCACCTCCCACCGGCCAGTTGATTTTCAGGTCTCTGCCATGCATGCACAGGATGTGTGCGTGTGGGGGGGGGGGGAGATGCGCGGGCACACAGGAGGACTCACACGCAGGAGTGGGGTCCCAGGAGGCTTCAGGGAGGCCTGCTAGGCCCAAAACGGGGTGGGGGGGGAGTTGTGCATACATGCAAGGGGGCAGGGCGCATGGGATGGTGTCATGCACACATTGCATTGTGGGTGTGGGCCTGCAATGACAAAAAGGTTAGCCATCACTGCTCCAGACAATGAGACGGAAGGAAGGAAGGACGGACAGACCCAGGAGGCAAAGCCCCCTGCAGTCTTTCCCTTTGTCCCCCAAATGCAGCCTCCAGCCCCTTTGAGCCGTCCCCAGGCAGGTCACTTTTCAGCGTAGGACCATAGGGTTGGAAGGGACAGAGAGAGTTCCTGACCTATGACCCCACAGCCTCCAGTGAAGGAGAACCTGTGGTAGCCCCTTTGACTGGCCGGCCCTCCACAGTCTGGCGGTTCCCCCGGATGCCTCGGCTGGGTTTTTTTCCTTGCAGTTTCTGCCCCTGGTTCTCGTCCTGCCTTCTGGGACCACAGAGGAGGAGCCCACTCCCTCTTTCCAGGCACAAGCCCTCTGCTGGTTGGACATCCCTTCCGTCTCCCTTCTGTAGGCTGAAACTATCCAGATCATTGGACTCTTCCTCCAGTCAAGGAGCTCTCACTTTTCCCACCACCTGGACGGTGTCCCTCTCTCTCTCTGAATCTGTTCCCGTACTCGATTGCCCCATTTGAACTGGGGCACCAAGAACTGAACGGAGGACATCTGTGGAACAGCTTCTTCCCTCCATCACTGGATGTTTTTAAGAACAGGGTGGGCTTGTCTGGAAGGGTAGAGGGTAAAAGTGTTCAAACTTTAAGACTTGTGGAGTTCGGTTCCCAGAGCTGGCTGGGGAATTCTGGGAGCTGAAGTCCACAAGTCTTAAAGTTCCAAGGTTGGACCCCTCTGGTCTCCGGCCTCCTGCTCGAAGAGGCGGTTGCACCAGAAGACCTCCAAGATCCCTTGCAGCTCCGTTACTCTGCTAAGAGGGATCTGGCCAGGAGAGAATAGCCACGTTCTTCTGAAATAGCTTGTGCTGCTCTCTCTGTTTCAGAACCCAGAATTAGTGGCCCGGCTGGAGAAGATCAAAGCTCGGCTGGCGAATGAGGAATACAAGCAGATGACGAGAAACATCAACTGCCAGGTGAGGGGGACGCGCAGAGCTGTTTAATTGCTAGATTTTCATCCCTCCTTTATTATTTTATAAGCAACTCAAAGCGGCTGACCCAAAAGAACTTTTCAAAAGGCAGCAGCTTTTTTTCGTTGAAAATGTTTAGGTTGAGTGCTGGTTCTTGGCCAGCTGATGGGGGCGGGGGGAGGGCTGGCCCTGGGTTGAGAAGTGACAGGGTCTTCTCTTCCCCCTCCAAGGAGTCGAACCCCCATGGCACCCTGGCTGATCTCGGCAGGCAAGGTGAGTCGCTGCTCCGAAGGCCGACGGGCGTTTAGGTGGGGGTGGGTCTGTCTCACCTCAGTGAAGGTGGATGGCAGATGGCATCCCTTGGGGAACTACCCCCCCCCCGCCCCCGGAACATCTCTGGCCCCAGCCCCCATGGAGTGGGGTTGCCCCCCCCTCACCTCCCAGAACGGCTTAAGAACCCAGCTCTGCCACTTGGCCTGGGGCTCCAATGGGGGGTGGGGGGGGATAGATTAACAGTCCCACCTCATCCTGCTCCCTCCCTGCCCATCTTTTAAAGGGGGCTCAGCATTTGGGTCTAGGTTTTTTGTGTCTTTTTCAAGGTTGGAGGCCCAGAGTGGCCCCCGATAACACAGAAGCCCATCAATGTTACAAAAAACATAAATACCCCCCAGAACTCTTGGAGCTCTTCAGTGTTATTTTTTTTGGGGGGGGGATCTGTGAGCCCCAGTGAGATGCCTCTCAGGAGTCAGGGGCGTCAAGGGGGCCAAAAGGGGTGGGGGGACCCGTGCAGTGGGCAGTCCCATCCAGGCGTTGAGCTCTGAGGCTGAACTGCAGGTCCCAGCATCCTTTGGGGGAGGGGGCCCTGCGGGTGCTTCCCACTTTGCCCCCCCCCCCCGGAAACAGGGTGAGGCTCTTTCAGTCCCTGGCCGGCCACTGGCACAGCCGCTTCTCCTCCTCCTGTCCCCCAGTCAGGTCAGCCAAAGCCGTGACCGTCACCCTCATCAACTTCCTCGTGACGGTGGGGGCCACCTTTGCCTGCGCCTTCCTGGGCAGCCAGTACTTCTTCACTGAGGCGGCGGCGGTGAGTAACTCCGGGGTGGCTGGAGGGGCCACGGGAGGCCTTGGGGGGAGGGCGGCTGCTTGGGATCCCCTTGGAGAGGCAGAACTGATCTCCCCCCCCCCCCATTTTTCCTTCCAGCGGGTGATTGCAGCCGTGATCGCGGCCTCCGTGGTGGGCCTGGCGGAGCTGTACGTGATGGTGCGGGCCATGGAAGGGGAGCTGGGGCAGCTGTAGGCCCGGGCTGGGCTCCCAGAAGGCCCTGCAGACGGTCCCTGTGGCTCCTCCGTGGCTCCTCACCCCAGGGAGGTGGCATCCGGAACCCCACCTTCCACAGATCCCCGAGGAGCCGCTCACGAGGAAGGAGGGGCAGAGCTCTGCCTTCCCCAGCCCTGTTGCTTCGCCAGGTGGGCCCCCATCCACGCCTGCACCCAGCGGCCTCCTCCCCACAGCCGCCTGGGGGGGGGGGGCAGGTGGGGCAGAAAAGCCGCTTCCCCCCTTGGGGCTGCTGGCCTCATCAATCGCCAGAGGGAGGGAGCCCCTGCTCGGCCCCCTTTGTGGGACTTCTAGGGGAGGGGGAAAGGCCTTGCCTGCTCAGCTGGGGGGGGGGGGTTCTCCCCATAACTTTGTGCTCCAGCTACCAAGTCCTGTTGCCCTGTGATGACACTGGATCTTTGTTGTGTGCAATAAAAAGTAAGTGGCAAAACTGTTGTGTCGGACGGGGCAGCTCCTCTAAGCGCCCCCTAAGGGAGGGAGGCTGCCTCCCATTTGTGTGCGTTGGTGTTGGTGGGTGAGGGGCTCCTTGATCCCTGCGACCCACCGGCTGCCTGGGAACAGGTGTGGTTGGCTCTGTTCCCCCTCTTTCTCCTACCTGCTTCCAGCGCCACCTGGTACGGTTGTTCCCTCCCAGCTCTCCCCCCTGCCCACCTCTCTGCCAGGCACGGCACTGCCCTCCCCCGCTGGTGGTGCTTCTCCCCTGCCTGGGCCAGTCCTCCCCCCTCCCCAGTCTCTCAAGCAGCCCCTCCAGCTAAACTGTTCTGCAGGGGCAAATCAGGCCCCCTGAAGTGGGGAGGGAAGGTAACACNACCCTTCTTGGCCATGCTGAGGTTGACTCCCTGTTCTTCTTGCCCGAAGCAATTCATGGAGATTGAGCCAGAGATGTTGGCCATGGAGACCATCGTGCCAGTCTACTTTGCCAAGGAAGACGACGAGCTGCTCTCTATCTATGAGCAGACCCAGGCCGCTTCGGCATCGCAGGGCTCAGCTTCGGCTGCTGAAGGTCAGTATTTTGTGAAGTTCGGTTGGGCTTCCCAGGATCGCTGCCCCCACCCCAAGGTAGACTCCCTGAAAGATCCATTGATTGGTGGCCTTTCAGCTCAGGACTATCCTGAGACAAAAATTTAAAATAAACATTTTTTAATAATTAAAAAATAATACATGAATTAAAAAGAAAAGCAAAATCAGATAAACCCAAAGGGCAGAGTGATTGGACCACTAGACTTTCGGGGGCTGCAACAGAGAAGAGGGAGTCAAGCTATTCTCCAAAGCACCTGAGGACAGGACAAGAAGCAATGGGTGGAAACTAATCCAGGAGAGAAGCAACCTAGAACTAAGGAAAAATTTACTGTTAGAACAATCAATCAGTGGAACAACTTGCCTCCAGAAGTTGTGAATGCCCCAACACTGGACATTTTTGAGAAGATGTTGGACAACCATTTATCTGAAGTGGTGTAGGGTTTCCTGCCTGAGCAGGGGGTTGGACTAGAAGACCTCCAACGTCCCTTCTAACTCTGTTATTCTATTCTATTATGAGTTTCATGCCATATGTTTACTATGTTTCTGTCCTTTTAAAAAAGATTGAATAGGTTTCTTTTTGAATTATATGGAATACAGGTAGTCCTTGACTTATGACGGTTGCTTAATGACTATTCAAAATTACAACGGACCTCACCAGGGCTACTTACAACAATTGTGTGACTGCAAAGGTGGTGGCTGGTTGTTGAAATTCTAAGTTTCAACAACCAGCCACCCACCCTTGCAGTCACACAATTGCATTTGACGTAGTTGGCAACCAAAGCGCACCACGGTTTGCCCACATAACACCGATCCTCCGTGAGCTGCACTGGCTACCTGTTGGTCTTCGGGTGCACTTCA